AGAGACATTTGCTTGAGTTCACACACTGCACAAAAAACGCAGACCGAAACACACACCACATGTAAGAGCCGCGCAGTCATCTGGTATCGGTGGAAAGATCTCCGGCGTTTGTATGAGAGATATGCTGAATCGTCGGCCGAGCAGCTATCAGATCCAGTATCCTCTCTCTTTTTTCTTCAAAAAACGTATCCGTCTGCCTTATCACTCAAATCTCTTCTCTCCATCTTGTGAGGACCAAGACACTCAGAACTGGGCTGCTGATCAGACAGATTGCCCACTTATCACTGATGCAACATACAATGGACAATGGTCACGAAGCAGGAAATGCAAATGGCCTTGTCCTGGTTGGAGGCGCGGTTATGGCCGTGGCGGTCAGGTCCCGAATTAGAAACGGATGTTTACACAATCCGTTCTGCAGCGTGCCACGCAACTTGTCTGGGCCGCCTGCATTGGAGGAAACAGACAGGAGGTCGATGATGGAGATGAGGGCTCTGTGAACTGTTGCATAATTTCAGTGGCCGGGAAACAGAACTGTCTGTGGCACTCTTTTATTAAAGGAATGATATAATGAGAAGGATCAGGGGGACAGATTGGTCAAGTCAGCGTACAGGCAAACACTGTCGAACTTCATACTGGTGGAAGAAAAGAAAAAACAAATTGGTAAAAGAAGATATATCAGACATTTCAAACTAGCAAAAGAAGTGAGAAACTCTGGGAGGGACAGTTTAAAAGACAGAGAGAGACCCGGGGGCACTGGGAATGAGACACTGAGTTAGCAGGAGAGAGAAAACAATTAATAATGGAAGCTATTAGGGGGATATTGTCAGTACTAAGAGGGAGGTCGGGTTTCAGGCTCTTTTTGAGGACTTCGATGGTACAAAACAGGCCTCATTACCGAGATATTATCTCCATTCATACACTTCCAGAGCCGCTTGGAGCCCTGCTGGGAAAGATTAGGTTCCTTTCGCTTGTGAACATCCTTCCTGGCTGTGGAGCTTTTCGAAGCTTGGGGGGCATCCAGACATCACGGGTGATGTGGGAGCTGAGGTGGCCACCACTGAGTCGTTACAGGCAGGGCCATTTCTTGCTATAAGAGGTATAAGCACTTGTTAAGGGCCCCTGAGCCACCACAGGTGCCCTCAGATATGTACTTTTGCAAATATATTCAGTATTTGTGTAAAAAACATATAAGTCCAAATTTTTAAAATATTTTTCCTAATTAGTTATATTCTTGCATACAAAAGACTATTATTGGGGTTGGTCAGGGGGGGATTAGGGTTCCAAATTGTTTCAAAACAGGCCCTCTTTAGAGAAACCTGTCTAAAGCTTCTTAATACTGTCACGTGTTTAATCCAGCATATATTCATATATAGGTGCCAAATACTGATCCTCAAATGCAGTACATTTAATATGGTAGCTTACTGGATGAGATTATATCAGTACTAAACCATAGTAGTAGAGAACCTTCAGGGCCTTCTAGGCCTTCAAAGAAGACCTAATCAACTCTTGGAACTAAAACGAATACATGTGTGTCTATGTGTGTGTGTATTTAGTTCATTTTTCCAAGAATGAGTGAATGAATAATACAAGAGATCTATTAGTTTAATCTAGAACAGCCAGAAAATGTTCATATCCATTGCTATTAGCTTAGTGCTAACATATTACCAGAAACCCATAGGGGCGCTAGCAGACATTAGTATTATCATAGAGGTGTTTTTGCCTTGTTTTTTATTTTTTTCCTTGTTTTTCTGACATTTATTGCCATACAAGCAGAGAAGTCTTCCCATTTCAATGGTAAACAGAACCTCTTTGAACATTTCATCACATACAAAGTGCATTCGGTCACTGCATTAACACTGAGGTCATATTAACCATACTTTTCTGAATGAAAGAAAGTGTTCTTGTGGGCACGATCATAGTAAGAGTGGCCAGTGTCCACATGTTTGGATGTGGGAATATATAATGCCACATCTGACATTCAGATGGAGGACAGGACTTTGTTCTTGACCCCAAGGGAAGTCACAGGCTTTAAAGTGAAACATCTTACAGTGCCATGAATGATTTTAATTACCGTCAATTTCTAAAGGAAAGGAAAGGGCACAAGGACTTCCGGGGTGGTTGAGCGTGCCGGAGGGGCACACGATTGCTTGCATTAAAGGGTTTCCTTCTAATACAGGGATTGCTTGGCTGAAAACAGACTACTCCTGAGGCCAGTGGAAGAATTAATGTTGTGAGATGACTGAGCTGGATTACTATTTACTTCCAAACATATTCTGACCTATACAAGCTAAACAGACTTTCCTGAAAGTCCTCTTCACTTTTAAGGTCAGCGATGACAATTTCCATTACAGCGCTTGGTGAGAAGACTGGAACATCCTGGAACAATTACACGGGGAGCCTGTAATCACTCAGCTGTCCCGAGAACTATTTCAAGTCCTTTGTTTTTATGAAATCGATTGCAAGTTTTCTTCAGGGCTGATTAACCCACATCCACTGCTGCATAGGTGTTCTCTTGAGGCCTTTGCAGCAAGCAGCTCGTGTCAAGCATGATTCCATTAAATTTCGTGAGGAGTGGGGATTTCTGTGGGAGCGGCAAGCTGAGTGGATGCCGTGGTTAGATTTAATTGGGGGTGCAGGACTGTGATTTTGTTTAATGAAGCCTCAAGCTGATATAATGGAGGAGGCTAAGGAGAAGCTTTGATGCTCAGCACCAGGAAACCCGAAGGCCAACACGCACAGGTAGACATGAACGGTGGGGGGTGGGGGTGGGTACCGGGGGCGAGGGATCGAGTTGAGGGACTCCAGACCTCTGTCTCCACAAGTTTTTTTTATAAGGCAAGCGTGAACACCAACACTTCTGGGAGATGTTTGTTAACTAGCTGGAGAGTGTGAACTGACTGTGGCCCCTCAGTGAAACACACTTCTTAAGACCTTTTCCACCCGACGACCCCCCTCTGCCTCCGGGCTGCACACATCATTGAAAGCAGGAGCCTTTTAAAAGGATATAAGCACTCCCAAAGAGGCTAGGCTGAGACAAATGTGCCATAGAAAGCCACTTTGTCTGGTGAAACATGCAGTAGCTGGAGCATAGAAAACGATGAGTAGCGAATATTTCATTTAGCATCCCTGTTGAAGAGAAGAAACGTTACACCTTTAAAAAAGTTTGGAATTACTTGTCATATTAATAACTTCAAGTAAGTTATTGTTATTCAATAATAAAAGTGTACATAGAAATGCTATTAGCTAGACACCAGACAGTATTTGAAGCTATTTATTCAAAAAGTATTTTTTTGCGAACAGTAAGAAGCTATTAAACGATAAACTATATACTGTAATTATCAATTTATAGTAATTCCTTGAAACATGATCCAACTTGTGATTTGCCCACCACTTTTCAAATTCAAGGCACTCAGGATATGAAGTTTATGAGAACGTTCTTAACGTTATACCATGTTTTTGAGATCGCACAACAAATAAAAAAGCTTAGTGCCAATTTTTACTATTTCTTTTTTAACTCAACTAGTGTAAACAATACTGACTGACACTCTGTTGTTAGCATTAAAAGAAATATTTAGTTAAACTAACATAGGAATGTTTGGCTAGGCAAAACTCTTTGTACCTGATTAAGCTTAATTTTGAGCTAAATTTCAGTGTCAATGGAGAATTACCATTGGCGATTCTATTTAGTCTAGGCTTAGTCTTTGCCTTTTACATTACATTCAAGGTATTTGGTTGATGCTGTGATCCAGAGAAACGTACATTTTAATAATGTTACAGACTCTCATTGGTGTAGTGTGGTGTTGATACCTGATCAGGGAACGGAACTTGATTTATTGCATGGAGGGTAGTGACGGTATTATGCTATACCTACTTCTGCATGAGGAGTAGGTATAGCATAATACATACCCAAAAATTAGGTAATAAAGTACACTGAATATGCTAAGTTATAAAGGCAGGTCATGTGTCTTTTGATATTTATACTTTATTTAATTTTCAACGTTGCTTGGTTCACAGATAGCCTTCCAACTTTTGCAAAAAGACAGATGATTTAATGTTTATCTAATACTATGAGGAGATATGTTGTATTCTGTCTTTGCAAGAGATTTCCTGTTGGTGTTCAAAAAATTTGTCTATCTAATCCATTAGATATTGTATAGCAAAACTATACAAAACAGAAATCTATTCAAGAAGGTTCAAGAAGCCTCAAATGTGTTGTTCATCTAACCTTTTGCTCAATCAACAAAAAAACTAATCAAAATATTGTTAAATTTGATTTTATACAGTGCACTGTTTTCATTAATATAAAACCAATTTTGTTGCAGGTACATGAACAAAATGGTCCTATTAAGATGGTACTATGGTAAACCTTATTGGTTTCTACCTAATTTGTACAAATCTGTAAAAGGTTCAAAAGTTTTAAATATGTTTTGAATGACAAAAAGAGCTGGAGAGCTACTGAATAGTGATTCGAAACTGGAACGGTGGTGTATCTGTGTCAATTTGATTATGTCTCTAAATTTGTTTATGGAGTCTCCATAGAGACCAATAACTTTATGCAGTCACCATTGCAACTGTCATTCATATCTTGTATGGCATGAAACCCAAATGGGGGATCCATGACTCTATTGCTTAATCTCTGAAGATAAAGCAGATTAAAATCTCATTACAGTAAAAATGGCATTGAGTACCTCGGCGAAAATGATGACAATAAAACAGAGGTGTAGGTTGCTTTAAATTGCACACAGAAATAGTTGGAGAGCTAATGGTGATTCCAAACTAGAACAGTTTAGTGAATTTGCTGAATTTGCTCTGGGGGAATGATGGTGCAGGAAAATAAAAGGTGAGACAATACTGAGAGGGTCATTCATCTGAAGTGATTATGAATAATCCTGGCCACACCCATCCACATTAGTCCCCCAGATACAAGCCCTGCCCAGGATAAAATGCAGGGGAAGAGTGAGCCACCCCACCAAACAGCAAGCAGTGGACACCCATTTACAGCTTTACTGCCTCGTTCGGTCACACAGGCGTGCTCTCGCGGCTGGTTCTCTCTTTCCCTCAGCCTCTTTCTCTTCCTCTCTCCCTCTCTCTCCCTACTCTCACTCCCTTTCTCTTTGAGACACACACACACACACACACAATTCACTCAGCTCATTCACAGGCACGGGTCAGGCAGCCTCACGTTTCACCTTGCACAGCCCCTGGCTGGGAGGAGAGGGAGCGTCTGCAAGGTGCAGCCGTCAGACAGGACTCTTCTCTCCACAGCTGAGTGAAGTTTAGTCAAGCAACCTGAGAGCTCCAGAGAAACCCGAGAAGAGCTGGAAGATGGGATTACAAAGTGCCACATCAATTCTGTGAAGAGCAAGACCAGCCACAGCAAAGGAAAAGGACAAACAGGTGCCTGGATCCAACAGAAATCCTTCAAGTACCAAAGCATCAGCAGAAGCTCTGCAAGGTTCTGTCTGCTCTTTCTGAATGGTTCCCGCTGAAAGCAGCTGCTGTTTCAAGGTACTGTGTGTAGCGGGGCAGCGAACGGGGTGCAAAATCATGCCGAATGCTTGCGCAAGGTGCACCTCGGGAGTCTGACCCACCATGTGCAAATGGACGTCGGCCGACCTCACCTCCATTGGCTTGGCCCGTCTCGGGCTGCCCCTGCAACCCTGCGCCCTTTCCCTCCGCCTGGCGTGCCTCTCCTTGCTCTTTCTGGCTGGCACCACTCTCGGAGGTTGCCCGACTGGACTGGGGCATGACCCCCTCCACTTGCTGGCACGGAGCACGAACTGCTCGTGGACTCTAGAGCGGCACACGCGCAGCTACAACCACCTAGAGGGCGACGTCCGGCTGCGGCGCCTGTACTCCGCCAACAAGTTCTTCCTCTGCATCGACAAGACGGGCAAGGTGGACGGCACCCGACGCAAGAACTATCCTGACAGTGAGTAGGCGGCAGAAATATGTGTCTGGAAAGGGTGGGGAGCTCATTATGTTGTAGTCTTCACTTTTACTGCCATAAGTGCACCGTCTTATCTTCTTTTATGGCTTCTTTTATCACTCGGGATTCCTCTGCCCTTTCTTTGGGTCATCAGACCTTACCTTGAATTGGTGTTGTGTTTGAGGAGCTAGCTGTTTCTAGGTAGGCTCTGGAATACCTGTGAGTAAAAGAATCACCTCATGGGTGAGCCATTGCCGTGTTTATAGTGAAGCAGAGTTAAGGAATCACAATGTGTCTGTTAGCCATTAAAATGGGCAGGGAATGAGGAGTCTGCTTTTTAAGAAGCTCGTCGAAGTTCAGACGCAAGACATCTACTCGTAATCAGCAAGTGTATCCTCAAACACTACAATATGTGTTAAGTATGTAGTATATTATACAGTAGTTATAATAATGGCTGAGAATTACCATTTTACTTTGACATTTCTGTTTTTAGGAACAGTTTGCAGGCTTTTAAGAGATTCGGAATTAACAGCAGACTTTATCTTAAGCCTCTTCTGGGGAACATCTTGAAACAGCAGGTGCAGTTGGTATGTTTGTTTTCCACAGGGATAAATCACCCGAATTTGCCTGTCATCAACAGGCTTCCTTGCGCCAAACGAATCACAAATTCTTGGGTCCCATGTGACTCTACATCTATTCTTTCTCAGCAACTGGAGCTTTACTCCATGAGACCCTACGTCAAGGGGTCAGCAGTGGCTATCTGTCAGTCTGGCTTTGAGCTTTAACAGCCACGAGACTGACACATTGTAGTTGTTTAGGGTTGGACGTGCAGAGTGCCCACTGTGAAGAGCATGAATCATCCTTTCCAGACCAGTTGCTCCAACTGGGAACACAGCTTGGGTCTGTTGGTTTGCAACTGTACTGTTTTTGAGGATACACTGAGTAGTTTTACATAAAATTGCATGGAAATATGGCAAAAATGAATATTAATGGTACCTGGTATGGTGCCTTTAAAGTGGCCAGGTTGATGTAAGCTTCTAGGCTCTGATCTGAAGATCAAGACAAATTATATGGACAGACCAAATTAAACTTAGTCTTTCACTTTTGGCTACATCTTGGTTCATCAAGGGTTCCATAGTAAAGGCAATGGTTACTGAATTAACCATATGAATGCACTATTGGTTCCTTGCATGTTAATGGTTCTTTTCTATGATGGAAAACATGTTGCACTGTAAAATGCATTTTAAAATGGTTCTAAATAGCACCAAAATGTGGCTATTGTTAAGTCATAAACCCTTCTGTTCCCTTCCTTTTTTCCTAAGAATGTACATTTTGTAGTACAACTACACATGTCTGGTAACTTTATCATCCCTTCTTCATGAATTTTGCAACCAGTGTTGGGTTGTGATAAACTCTAGGAGTGTCCTTGGCCAAGCACCACAGTGAATTTTATACATTTCTAGTTTCCAGAGCTCTGTCAGATCTGCTTAGTAGCCAGTGCTGAGCATGATTAGCTGAAATAGTGCAGTCCTCCAATGCAATTTGCTTGTACATTTGCCTACCGTCCTCTCATTTCCTGCTCCCGAATTTCAAAAGTGCCCCTTGAGTAGCGAGGGTCTCCTTCACCATGATATAATACATCTTGCGTAATGCTTATACGGCCCTGGGTTGTGCAGTTGAAAGAACAACACTCTGGAATATTTCCTGGCATAACATTTCATTGACAGCTTTACTGTCAGCAACCAAAGCAATCAAAATGCAGTTCACATAAATCAGAATGATCTATGTTATAACGCAGCTAAACGCAATCGCCATACAAAGCTTCCACTGTCTGATTGTTATTGATAACGTGCTCTAAATAAAACAGCTCACATCATGCACTGGGCATCATAATGAGCCATTTTCTTGCTCTAAATGTAGTCCTCTATCTTGCACTCTCATATGCTCTGTTCACATGTGGGCAGCTGCGCTGGTGAAGGTGCTGCCCACCTTGTCCTCTGCATAGCCCCCACGGTCTGTCAACACAGCGGCTTTTCCCAAACAGCCGGTGCTGCGCCCATTCCCTGTGCCCCCGCTCACTTTTTCCAGCCCCCGCTCCCGACTCCGCTCAGGTGCAAAAACAGTTGGAATTAGTCAACGGGCCCTCAGCTAATTGAGGTTGGAAAATATTGTATCAATCCCAGCAGACTGGAACAGCTGAGGGAAGACGCGGGCACACGAATTCAAAGAAGAGAGAGACAGGTTGAAAGTAGAGAGGAGGTGGAATGAAAAAAAAAAGGTTGGTGTGGGAATAATAGCGAGCCAGAGAAGCTTTTGTGTCCACGTACCGTTTGGGTGAATGGAGCGGTCCCCGTTTCAACCGCCACACAGTTTCAGCCGAAGGAAAACCTGGCAGCGATCTGAAGCGAACTTATTTTTTCAGATGTTCTGGTTTTAGCACGACCTTATTTGTTGGCATGCTCGTTTTAGGAAAGCACTGCTTCAGCCAACCACTAAAGTAAGCACACTACTTGCATAATTGTGCAAATAATGGCCAAGCAAATTTCATTCACAGCGTTTCAACACCATGCACTGGCACTGATTCCTGAAACTTGTTTTCGTCCTGGCCCTAGCTTTGAAGTTTTGAAATTCAAATTGGTTCAGTACTGATCGGTCGCGATAAGCCACTCGCTACTATACGAGCCTGATGGATAGCATGTCAGACAAGTTGTTCAGCCTGTGATAACATGTTAAGTGGATGAGCTCCTGCATAGTATGTTGAATTCATGGTTGAACAGGTTTTCCACTAAAAGTGAATGCACATGAAATGAGGAATGGGGATAATAAGCAAACAAACAAACAAATAAACTCACAAATCGGGTTACTGTCCTAGACTATGGGTCATCATTATCTCTATTGAATGGACTGTCATGTGATGAATGACCATTTTTTTCTATCCATTACCTGACAGCTGCCTGCTTGGAAGAGGTTGTTTTCCTTTTCATTTTTCATGTCACAGTTACTTATGAAATATTGCTGGCAGGCAGGACCTGCTTACATGATCTTTTTTCCCTGTAAATGGGACTTTAAAAAGGATACACTGTTGAAGCTTTGGGTGGGTGTGGATGAAGACATCAAATGCTTGATTTTGGGTCCAGGCACTGACACCGCACTTGGCCCTAAGGAAATAAAGTCATGCGACAGGCATAATCAGAAAAGTCACTTGTGTTAAAATATGGCCACTTTGCTGTTTGCCAGGCCTTTTCCTCCTTTCCTCCCCCCCTCCTTTTGCTCTCTCTCTCTCCTCTACTCTCTATTTCGGCTGTATTTCCAGGGCCTTGTGTCATGTTTACCAAGTTTCCCCTCACAGCTCTGCATCTCGCTTTACATGCTGCCCTTTTCCTTTGCTGTGATTTCATAGGCGTGTTGAGCTTGGACCCAAGTCACAGGAAGAAAATCATCCACCCGTTCTGAATATATTGTGGAATTATTTAAAACATATTTCAAAAAGAGAGACTGTCAGTCTATGGAGCCACAGAGAAGCCACAGAGGAGAGATTGTGTGCTACTAGTGCTGGCATATAGGGCAGCGGAGGTGAAAATGAATGCATATAGTAGTCATATTCATCACTTGACCCTTGTGTGTCAAATGAATCTTGTCATCTGAAGGAATGTGTTTTAACAGGCTTTAAAATACTGGCTTACCAACAGAGTTTGTCTCAGATTTACAGTCTAACGAATTTAACATTGAAATGTTAATGTAGCGATCGAATACTGTCATTCAGTGGCCAAGAATAATGAAGAGTTATACAATTATTCAATAAATAATGCAGAAACATTGATATTGGTATTGATACTTTGTCCTGCCAGGTATTAGCATAACATTATTTGTTTGCTAACTGGTTAAAAGCTTTCCTAAGTCCTGTTCAAGCTAGATTAGTTTAGCTAGCTATCAGTTAGCCAAAGTTGTATCAACTTGCCTTTAGCGAAACATCATAGCCTGGATGTTCATCTCAGGGTTAAGGGTAAAACACAATCTCCACACAATCTCCAGTAAATGCCAAACAGATTAGCTTTAGGCTAGTAAAATGGGCTCATTCAACTTACCAAATGCCACCCAACAAGATGGGAGTTGCATTGCTTTTTTGAGTGATGCTCAAGACATTTTCTTTTTCTTAGGCAAACACCAAAACATTTTAAAATGTTTTAGTCCTGTTTTGAACTTAAGGATAAATTAATTGTTCTTATTCGGGTAACTGATTGGCAAATAACTGCAACTTGAGTTTCATGGGGCTATTTTGCTTTGCTTTGCTTTGCTTTACCTTTTTTCTGCAAAGGTTATTTTACATGCATAGTAATGATAAAAACAATACTACTAACAAAATTAAATTAGAATCTCTTCTATCTGGTCATTTTGAGATGCGGGATATAGCACAGTGATAATGTGTGAGTTAAAGTTTATAATTTTTGTAAAAGCATAGTTCAGTAAAAGTTGTGTTGTGATATATTGTCATCTTTAATTTGGCCACAAAAAATTGAGGATTAGTTCAGGCAGGCTGCAAAGTGAGCTCAGGTCCCAGTCTCAAATCACCAGCTGTTATCAGCTGATCTTAGTCAGAGGAAGGCTCAGCTTATCACCTGCTACACTTACAACTGGTTATATTCATCAGGGCATTTAGTTAAGCTGGTTTAGCCTGCCCATTCTCACTGCTTCCTCTGCAAGCCACTTTGCTGCCCGCCTCCACCCCAACTCCGTCTTCATGTTGTCTGTCTTAATGTCATGTTTGTCATTGATACCTGCCCTGGTGGGGGGCCTTTCTGCTGCTGTCCCTGCCTTAGGCTTTCCATATCTGCACATAAATGGACAGGAAGGTATGTATTTTCTTAAATGAAAGAAATTTCTTTCAAAATTGCCAATGCCAAACAGGCTTTACTGTCAGAGGCTGCTCAGCTCAGCCCATTGTTGTTTTCTCTGAAGCCAGTTTGCCTGAGGCCTGTACGACAGCTGAGATTTTACTCGTGTTT